CGGGCTGCAGGGCTCTCTCTCTCTCTCCTCTCTCCCCTCTCTCTCTCTTTCTCTCTCTCTGTCTCTATCTCTGTCTCTGTCTGTCTGTCTCTCTCTCTCTCCCTCTTGCAGGCTTAGGAAGCCGCTGCGGCTGCTGAGGGCCTGCTTAGCTTCCCAGCGGCTCTCAGTGCACAGCACACGGGTCTCCCCCCATGACAGCTCCCCACGCGTTAACACGTTTAAGGGTTTTGTTCTTTCCAGATGGCTGCTTTCTCCCTATCGTCGAAATACCACCAGGCGAGGTGGAGGGGGCCCCCTTCTGTGGTTCTATTCTAGGTCAGCACTGGGTTGGGGATACAGTTCTCACGCCCCCCCCCCTCCCCAACCTGTCCCTGAAAAGGGTCCAAGCCAGAGAGGGGAGAAGCCCCTCACCTCTCCAGAGCCGGGTGACCCCAGGAAGGCTGGGGCTGGTTTATGCCAGGATGGCCAAGCCCTGTGCCCTCGGCTGTTGCCATGCACCCCCGGGTCTGGGCCCCTCTGCCCGCACAGCCACAGCTGCCCTTCGCTGGGTGTGGACCAGCCATGTAGGAGGCACAGGCCCAACCTCAGTTTACCCTCACAGCAGGGAAGTAGCCCCCCAGCTCTGGGGACACGAAAGCCTGGGCTCTTAGCCATGTCCTGTGCCTAGGAGCCCCTGAAGCCCCTCACTCAGACCAGCATGGAGCAGGTTCTTTCAGCAGCAGCCACTGCCACACGCCACCTCCCCATGACCCAGGCATAACGCTCAGGGGGCAGATGCTCCCAGGGGCCCGATTCTCCTGGGGTGGTGCACTGCACGTGCATGAAGGTCCTTCAGCCACCAAGACCCACAGGGATAGAGGTGGACGGACCTGCTGGCGCCTCCTCACACCCAGGCTGTGCTCAGGGGCGCCCCTCCCGGCTGTGATGGCGGGGAGAGTGGGCAGCTTTCTTGGTTTACACGTAAGAATGGGTCCAGAGGGGCACAGCCACCTGTCTTGGGCAGCACACAGCTAGATACTAACCCCTGGGCAAAGTCACCCCACCAGCTGTCCCCGTCAGGCTACTGTAGCCCCACAGACAGGGAGGGGCCAGCGAGGCAGCCCTGCCACTCACCTCTCCTTGAACTCAAGGAAGACCTTGGCCAGAGCGCTGCCCCCCGCCATCATGGACAAGTCGATGGATCTCAGGAAGCTGTGATGCACCTTAATTAGGTCCTGGGAAGACAAAACAGTTAGTGCGTGAACAGGCTCACCACGCTGGAAGGGCACACATGCTCCTAATCAAATTTGCATCTTGTGCTTCGATTAAGGACTTCTGTGAGAGGCCTGGGCACAGGGTATGCGTTCCCACATAAATGCCGGTGTAATCCAGCTAGGAGGGGCTACAGTGATGCGTATGTGGCCTGCAGGGAGCGTCCACTGCCCGCATCTGCCTGTACAGACACGTGTGGCTGACTTAGGCATGGCTCTGGTGCCTGGATGGGACAGTGGCGGCCCAGGGTCCCGGGCTCGGAGAGATGAAGTCTCTCCATTGCAGAGTTGGGGCCTCAGGCCTGGGGGGGTGCTTCCCCACATTTCAGAGCAGATGGGGGATGGACAGGGGACATGCTAGGGGCTACCCACATCCCCCATCCAGGCTACTGATCTGTCCCTGGGCGATTAGGCTGGTCACCGCTCACGGCAGGAGGAACTCTGGGTCGGGGGCACAGAGAGCCGGAAGTTTAGGAACCTGGCTCAGCCGTGCTGATGAGGCGCTGAGGGGACGGGCAGGGGCACCCCACAGCCATCAGGCGGAGTGGAGAGAGCCCACCCATGCGTAGCTTCTACAGCCTTGCGCCAAGCCGACCCTACTCTGCTGACCACATCCAGGTAATGACCACATTCCCACAGGGATGGCCTCCCCGTGTCTGTGTCCAGACATCTGCAGAGCTGGCGACAGGCTCTGCTCTACGGGGTGGGGGACACATTTCTCTCCAGCTGCTGACTTCCTGCATGTCTTCCAGGGCGTATGCGCCTGAACCACACCCGCCAGCACAGACAGCAGGCAAGGCGAGCTCTCAGACACCGCGTCCTCCCGTCCCCTAAACCCGAAGTCCCTGGAGAGAGGAGCAGACCGTCCTCCGCCTCCCATCTTTCAGCCACAAGAACACCCCTTAGCCAGGACCAGCACTGCCCCTGGTGGAAGCAGCCACATTGGAGCAGGTTAGGACCAGGGTCCGCACGCAGTGAGCGAGGCTGAGTCCTTACCTCCAGGTTGATGAAGATGGCCGCCATGTCCGCCGGGCTCAGCACCAGCCTCAGGGGGCCCATGTAGTTCTGGAAGAGAAAGCCCAATGCTGCCATCTGGGCCTGGCAGCAGCCAGCCACCTTCCAGGCCACAGCTGCCAGCTGGAGGTGCTCTGACAACCTGGCCAAGGTCAGGGGCGCCCTGCAGGACGGCTACACAGGCCCGGCTCCCGGCCAGTGCTTGGTGAAAAGCATTCTAGGGAGATGTGGGCTCCACCCTGCGGGGTGAGTGCCGTGGGGAACGTGTGAGGCCGGGCAGGATCTGGCCTGGGCATTCGTCAAGCACCCATGCCTGCTATGTGTCCTAAAGGGACACTCGGCGTGGCACTGGACTTCAACCCTACACTAGCTGGGTGGGCCTTGCTATTGTTGTTTGAAACATTGAGGAAGATGAGGCCCGGGAGGTCAGGCGATGGCATCGCCCTGCGTACACTGGTGGGTGGCGACAGGGCTGCGATTCCCGCCAGCACTCAAATTCCTGAGCCTGCGCTCCTGGGTCTGCCCCCAAACCTGCCATCAAAAGGGACGCTCCCCAAGCCCAGAAGCACCGCAGGGCCAGGCAGCGGTTCTGCCTCCAGGTTCAGTCCTCCAGGACTGGCCTTGGAAGAGATGCACATGTGTGAATCTGTCACCTCCTGCCCCAGAGGCCCTTTCAGAGAAGGACCTGCCACCCTCCCCTCTCCCTGCCCCTTCTCCCCCAAGGGGTCCAGCCCCCTGGAACTCTCCTCAGCCACTGTGTGGAGCAGGTGAGAATTGTCCAGATGAACAAACGCTGGAGGCCACTTGATGTAGCAAACGGTTTTCCCCGTGCCAGGGACAGGCTGGCACTGGCCTATGACTCGGTTTCCTCGCCTGTCACATGGTGACACCTACCTCGGATGGTTAGAGGGGGACTGTAACCGCAATTGTCCCTGAAAGCACTCAGTACACTGCACACCCTGCCTCAGCACGCTCCCTGCTCAGCCCCCAGCGTGCAGTGGGCCACGCCACGGACGGGCAGGGCCTGCCCTCGAAGGCCGTGTCGCGGGTGGAACACAGCAGCCTGCCGATGTCTGCAGTGGGACTCAGGCTGCATGGAGGAGGCCTGCAGGGCCCTGGGGAGAGCCGACCTGGGAGCCGAGACTCACAGGAGAGGGGCTGCTGGGGGAAGGGAAGGCAGGAGGCCGAGGGCCAAGGCATACAGCTGGGACGGAGCCCGGGGTGTCTGAGGAGAGGCCGGTGGTCTGTGGGGTGAAGGGTGGGCACAGGGATGGGTGGGGCGGGCGGAGGGAAAACATCAATCAGAGGCCTGAGCCAGACCCAGATGGCTGGAGCCCACAAAGTCCTCTCAACAATGAGGGACCCACACAGGTGTCCCCATCACTGGGTCCTACACCACAACCAAAGAATAGCCAGGAAGGTTCTATCTTAAAAACAGTGTTGGCTTTTTCATGCCACTAAGCACTGGCAGTTGGCAATGAGGATGTCCCAGTGACAGGGAAATGCCACCGCGCCAGGGCACACAGGAGGCCAGGGCGGGTGGAGGAGAGGAGACGGCCCAACCGGGACCCTGTAGGAGCTCGGCAGGCTGGCAGAGAGGACTGACCAGCCATTGGAGGTAGCACAGGGCCTGCCATGGGGCTCCAAAGGCCCACACCACTGAGCCTGACTATGTCCCAGGCGCAGGACACGCACGGCCACCTATGGGATGGTAATGCCATTATCCCAATTTACAGAGAGGGGGCTGGGTGCAGAGAGTGCCCTAGGTGAGAGAGTAAACATAAGGAGCTCAGCCCAGCACCCAGCCTGGGTGAGGGTATACATAAGGAGCTCAGCCCAG